CTACTGAAAATAATCTATTTAGTTTCAACTGTAATTATTTGGGGCACTTTTGAAAATAAATACTATTTCACTTGTGAAACATGAAAACAGTAATAGTTTTGTTATCAGTCTAGAGGACTCGCAACGACAGACTACAGTTCACCTAAAAGATTTTTTAATGTTCCTTGATCAATGATGTGAACAATTTCCATGTCCCAATATCAAGCTGTTTTGACAGACACTTTTGATTGAAATCAAGGTCACATATCAAATATCATCTTTGAGACTATAAGATTGTCCGCTCCACAGGGTAAAGTGATGATATAAGCATTAATATGTGTGAAGTAAAGGAAAAAATGAATAAGATTATAAATAGGAGTTTTCTTTTATGGACTACTTACATTCCATGTGGTCCAATATAGCAAGGATCTGTGGTTCTGACAAGGCATCATCATCATCAAGTAAGGAATCACTGCTAGCATGTGCACATTCTAAAGAAAACAAAATCAGGATTAAACAAGTGGTGGATTGCTGGGAATAATCCTGCTCAAGACTAACCCTTGTGAACATTACAGTAACAGATAAATGAGACAGACACAGCTTCAAGCATGTGGTAGGGATTCTAATGTATTATATCCTCATTATAACTTATACATTAACATTCATCAGTCCCCATTATATATCCTCTAAATTTAGCGGATCAAATGTGATCCACCCACTTGAATGCTTGTTGTGAAATCCCCATAGGGAATTTGTTCAATGTCCATTAGGGGGTTAGACAGCAAGCTTTTAAGTGGGTCGCCATATTTGATCCAGAACTAGTAAGTCTACTGTTGTGAATGCAGCTATAGTCCATGTTTATAAATTAAAAATATAAATAGTATATGCACAGTCAGTCACGTGAAGAAATAAATAATAATAATTTGAAAGTTGTCACAAAAGATGCTTGACACAAAACAATTACCATCAGTTCCTGAAGCAGTATTGCCTGAAGTCTGTGCAGATGCCTGCACCTTGTCAAACTGAACCTGTGAACCATTTTGGTTTGATATGTTAACTTCTTTCGACATCCTGTTGGTACATAGCCTTCTGTTTGATTTAGCATTAGTGTCAGCTAAGCAAGTTTGAGGCTTAAGAATTTCAGCCTTCGCTGGTTTATGAGGGGTCGTTCCGTCCAAAACTTCATCTGGTTCTGCTAGCTGAAACAGCAGGTCATCTGTCAAACTGTTGTCATTCCAGTCACCAGACTTCAGCACCTTATGTTCATCTGAGATCACAGTAGGCTGTTTACTGCCAAGACCAACATCTGATTTATCAACAACATTGATATTTGGCACCGATCCAGTTGATGAATAGCTTTCATTTCTACTTGTCTGGATTTTAAGTTCACATTTTGGCTGCAAGGAAGACCCATACTTCTTACTTGGATCCATTTGCAGTGTGTTTAATTTTGTGTTATGCTTGTTTGAATTTGTGGATGAAAAGTCAGTTTGCGCCATTTTACTCCTCTGCAGTTCAGTAGATTGTATCTTCCCTTTAAAATTAAACTTTTTCCCTAGTTTAATATGTTCCTTAACTCCATTTGAACAAGGGTCCTTGCTACTACAACTAGCACTTATCAAAGTAGACAGTTGCTGGGACTGATCTCCAGTGCTGTTCTTCACATTACTGGTCCAATTTGACTGACATTTCTTTTGTTGAACCAAATCCAACATATTCTGAGGGGTTAAGTTTGTATGAGATTTTGCTACAGTTGGAATATAATCAAGTACATTTTTATTAAGTACATTAGGTGGACCACTATCAAGACTGAAAGTGGCTCTGCCAGATTTTTTAACAGGGATGTCAAGTAGATCAGCGATGTTTCCACTTTTCCTCTTAACAGTCTTTGAGGCATGTGCTAAGGGGAAATCATCAAACATCTCTTGGGTAGCTTTAATGAGGGATTCATCATTGAAAAGGTCATCACTCTCCCAGCCATCATCAAGGGGTGCAATCCCATTTTCAAGAACATCATCTTGTTCTTCACACAGACGTCTCTGGAACAGTGTGCCGTTCCGTTGCTGCTCAAGTATAGACTCCCTTTCAGTCTGGCTGAGCTGGGAGACGATCTGTGACAAGGCTGCCATGGTGCTTGGCGAGGAGGGAAGAACAACACTTCCTTTATCAAACACATAACTCAGTGGCTGTGTACTGGTCGTGTTATTGGATTCACCCACTTCTCTCACTTGTGTTAATTCCTCTTTTAAATCTTTTGAAGATTTACTGCAATAATAAAAACCTAGTATTCAATACATCTTTTTTTTTCATTGGCCCTGGGTTTGTTTTATACCCAGAATGAATGGCAAGGCATAAAAGCTACAAGCATGAAAATCCTGAATCTATGAAGGCACAACTGTTCTTACACAGATTATTTTTGTATTCCAGTGCACTAAAAAGCTTTGCATAAACTATGAATGATTTCACATTCTCTAATTCCCCAACTATAAAAAGCTGGTTAAATATGCTTAAATATAAAAAAATATAACAGACATAGTTGTGACTTTGATACGTAATCTGTACTTTATTTTTGCTTTCATGTTGCAAACAACATATTACCTATTTTTTCCATGTTCTGTTGTCTCATCTGAAATGCAAATAATCAAAATTGTTATCCTTATGTTCTTCCAACTTAGAAATACATGCTATGGTTTGAACACTACTAATGATCTAATCACAGGGTTAGGACAGAACCAGACATATGAGATTACAATACAGTCTGAGAGTTCTGTTTGAGGCACCTCAAATCATTCTAGGGTAATATTTAATATAAAGCAGTTCTTTCTCCCTTACCTTGCAATTTTATGATATCTGCAAGTTTCTCCATAAGATCTTTAGACAACACATTTGGCTTGGTTGATTTCAGTTTTCCTCGCCCTTTTTTCTTCATCTGTCTGAAAGATGTGAAGAAACAAAACTGGCTATACAAAAGAAAAAAAAAAAAAAGAAACACAGAAATGCAAATACCATTCTCATTAAGCAAAATCACTGTAAAGGTCCAAGGTTGAATCACAGGATTTAGCAGCTAGACAATATCATGTCAATATTATGGCTGACACTTATTAAGAAGATGACCATGGAAGACTGAAAACTTTATCTAAAACGCACAAAACCTACAACTTACCTTGTAAAAGGTCTGGATTCTTCTGCATCTTCCAAATTCCAAATGCCCATCAAAGTTGAAGAGCAAGAGGGCACAACTTTTGCCTTATAAAACACCAAGAGATACACATTTGCCATCTTTTAAATAAAACTGCCAACTTTATCCACACAACATTTATATATACAGCTAAAAATTATCTTGAACTAGAAGACTAAAAATATAAAACCTTCATATTGATGTAGAGCTGTAAATGAGCTTCCAAAATAACAATCACCATAATATCAGATGTAAACACACATTTGTTTGAAAAAAATTCTGTATCAGCAAAAACAACTCTATATGTTTCAAGTTAGAAAATGATATTACGTATTTCCAAGGGTTATTTTGTTACATACAGACACTTACACCATCCACCAGGTCATTCACCAAGTCTTTGATTTCATTTTCCCTGTTTTCAGCTGGTAATTTTTGCAGGCACACTGTGGGTAAGATAATGAATGGATAAGAAAGAAACTTGTGAAAAAAAAAAAAAACTTTTAATCAAACTAAAAATTGCTCTCTGCATTTATCTTTTTCAAATATCCGTGAATACCTAACAACCCATGCTAAAGCATATGATGCAGATCATAGACATCAATTATACCAAAGCAAAACAATACTATGCAAGTCACTGATTTACTTACTCTGATTGAATCTTTTAATGGCATCTGGTGAGTTACAGTCCCAAACAACTTCTCTTGATTCTGCTTGTGACAGAAGGATGTCATCCTTCAATTTAGGGGTGAAAACAAAACTGTCCTGCAGCTTACATTTCTGAAGAAATTATGGCATAGCATAAAACAATGTTACGTCTTCAATTCAAGAGTGCCAAATTCGCAAATTTTAGCTACTTCGATAAAAATTTTTGGTACTGAAATTTTTGCTAAATTATGTGGTGCACTTTTAATAAAAATTACAGATATCTTTATCATAATAACAAGGTAACCAAGAATCAAAATATTATGCTATAAATGTACCATGAACCTATCTTCAAGCTTAATGCAATACATTTAATTCATACGCATGCAATCACCGTATCCACTTACCTTAGGGTGACGTATAGGAGTTGACATAGTAAACAATGAGTTTTGTCTAGGACTTAGCAACTCAATCAGTGAACCATCACTGTCTTTTGGGGTTGAAGATTTCACAAATCTTAATGAAGCTGGGGGACTCTGAATACAAGGGCTCCTAACAATCTGCTTTAGTGTTTTGCTTCTTGTCCTCTTCGCTGGATTAGAACTAGGAGATGTTAATATTGCATCCATTTTTTGGTCATCAGAATTGTTTGCTGCATGTGTCTTTATACTTTTAGTTGATTTTGTACTTTGCTCCTGAACAATGTTGGTCTCAATATGCACTGCAGTAACACATGGTATCTGACCTGAAAGCAGTGAAAGCATTACTTTTAAGTACTCAAACTGCATAAACAATACACAGTTACTGATTTCAAAATCTCTCATATTATGCCATACTGATAGTAACATTTAATAGAAGCCACTCAATGGCTCTTTTTTACAACATGGCAGACAAGCTGACAATAAACAAATTGTACTGATTTGTTAAGTTGGATAAACAATATTAGTTAAATAGTAATACATTTTGCTTTTAAAAATATCATCTTGTTTTCTTGGGAATGACCTTAATACTGGCCTTTTTTTTAAAGTGTATTTCCCTGAATTGCACATTTAAGAATGATTGAAACTTATACTAAAGAGGGAGGGTAACCAATAGAAGTCATATACAGATGTAGACTGACAAACTGCGAAGTTTCGAAAGTGCAAATACTAACATTTGTCGGGATTTAGTAATTAGTCTTTACTTTACTGTCTTCAAAATCACACCATACAAATTATTAATGCTAATTAAAAGATAATTTACTTATTCCAAGTAACTGTCTCAAGCCCATGTTACTTCCTTGCCTCAATTGAAAGCTGGGTACAGGGTACTTTTGCAGTATTTCCCCTTCCCTACAACTCTCTCATTTTTAATGTCAATCAAAATTAAGATATGTGCAGTTATTGTCTCTGCTATTCAGATATATCAGCTTGAAAATTTTCTTCAAGCTCTTTGACAAATGAAATCACAGCAATTTTCCCTCCCAACGATGGCTGCGGCTCTATCATATTTGGATGGCTTAAAGTTTTGTGTAGAAAACATTGTTAAATTCTCAAATTGATTTATATGAATAGCAGAATAGTACTATTCAAAGTCATCGCACAAATAAATTAAGGAGAGACATTGAAAATCAAACAGTTTATATGGTACTGGTGGTGGTGTTAGAGGATACTGCAAAAGTGCTGAAAGCAGGGCTCCATATCTTGAAAGGTTCGCTATGTTGCGCACGTGCGCAAGTGTCTCGATTCCATGGCCCCGTATCTCAAAATAGAATCGGTTATGGAATCGAGACGCTTGCACAGCGCAACATAGCTAACCTTTTCGAGATACGGAGCCCAGGACTTATAACTAATTCAAATTTGTTGCCCTATCAGCATTAGGTAGGAAGCACAGACTAAGTCTAAGGTTCGTGGTGTGTTAAATTTTGTAAACCGCCATAAATTTAAACGGTTTATCCATACTCAAATATGTGGCTATTTTTTAGCTCAATTAGAAAAAATATCATGTGTGCCCCCTACATTAGACATCACCAGTTAGTTCTGTGACTGAAGCTAGCGTGGACTTACTGATTGCATCCTTTCTCTGGGTCTCGGTTACCTTTCTCTGCCGTTTGCCCATTTCACTCATACCCCTTCCTTCATGTTATTGGTAAATGCATTAAAGTTTAAGAAAATATCAATCCAGAGTCAAACTATTGATATTCAAATCACAACACTAGCAGGGGTACCGACTGTAGCAGAAATTAAAAATGGCCGCTCTTCTCAATGCCTCGTTTTCGAAATAGGTCAATGGGAAGAAACTCTGAAGATTGATGTAGCAGGCATAATATTCGACTACCTGTTCCTTAACTTGAAGACAAATCCTTACTTAACGATGAAATTAGCAGATTACCAGTATATAGTAAAAAATATTCACCACTCGTGGAATAGAAATTGCCTCCAGGACTTGGCAAAGAAATTTCCAGAGTAAGTGTGAACCGATTGATAACTTTGGCGTCAATTTAGCAGTTGTACAGTATATCAGTTGAGTTGTATCAAACTTGCTGTCCTGAGAATTCTTTTAAAGTAGTGATAAATAAATTTCATCTTGTAGAAAATATCCTTTGGGAGTGACACAGAAAATGATTTCAATTCATGTCCAACTGTTAGTCAAATAACTTTTATTATTATTATTATTATTATTATTATTATTATTATTATTTATTTTTAATTTCTCAGATATTCAGTGGAGACCCTAGGAAGTATTTATTCGCAGGAATATCAGGTGGGTATAGACTGATTGAAGCTGAGGTATTCATATTTTCGTATTTATTATCATAGTGCTATATATATATATATATATATATATATATATATATATATATATATATATATATATATATACAA